GTGCGGTCACCGTGTGTCCCCTGGGCTGCGCCACGCGGGGACGAGCCCAGCGGAGCCACAGGTTCTGCTCAGGGAACAGCCCCAGCCGAGCCAGCCCCTTCCCAGGAACCCTGATCCCGCCGGCAGGGGCTTTCGGGGGGGCACTGGGCAGGGCAGGGTCACCCCCTCGGGATCCAAGCCCGTGGAGGAGCAGGGATGGACACAGTGACCGAAAATGCTCTCCCTGCCCGGGGAGGGGGCTGTGCCAGGGGGTCCCTACCGGGTGTAGATGCCGTTCTTCCGGCAGAAGGAATTCTTGACGGAGAGGCGGCGGTTGTTGAGCTCCAGGGCGGGGAAGCTGCCCTCATCCAGGCTCACCATCTCCCCGTGGCTCAGGGCGGCCGCCTTGGAGCTGTTCCCTGGGGGATGGGATGCTCAGCCTCCCCCAGCCCCTCCCCAGGCAGCACAGCCCAGGGGGCTGGGGATGGCCCCGGGGGGATTGTGCTGGCTCCAGAGTCACCAGGGGCCTGGGGACAGCAGGAGGTGCCAGCCGTGCCCTGCCCCAGCGGCCCCAGCTCCCCACTCCGGGCTGTTTGCTTAACGAGGAGCTCTGGATTTTCCCCACAATTTGAGCCCTTGACGGAGCTAAGAAAACAGAGCTGTGTTTGGCTAATCCCGGTGACCTCTGCGAGCCCCCGGGGCTGCCCTGCCTCCGCAGCTGTCTGTGGGACAAGTCCTTCATTCCATCCCGAGCTCCCAGCGCGTCCGGGAAGCCGCAGCATCGCTCTGGGGCTCTGCGGGAGCTGCTCCCAAAGCGGGCCGGAGGGGAGGCTCCCACCGCTCCACCCAGAGCCCGAAGGCAGGGAGAGACCCCCAGGAGGCTCCCACGGGGGCAGGAGGGTCCTGTCACCACCCACCACACTCCCCCACTCACCCGAGTCCGACTTCTTGGAGTATTTCTTGCTCTGCCCGCGGATGATGAGCACGAAAACGAGGAGGAGGATGAAGATGAGCCCCACCAGGGCAATGACCACCAGGAACCACCACTCCTCGTAGAACGGGTTGGTTTTCTGGGCTGAGGCACAGCAGGGAGGATCAGAGGGGGACAGGGGACAGTTTGGATGGGGGCACCCCTCTGCAGGGGTCACTCGGGGGGCTTTGTGAGGCCTGGATCCACGGGGAAGGGCTGGAGGGGGATTTGGGACTCTGTAGGAGCCAGGAGTGGGGTTCAGTGACGGCCAGGAGAACAGAGCGACACCAGGACCCTCCCAATGGCACAGGGGGACAGAATCCCCCGGGAACACACCTGACACGGAGGGGGAAGGGGTGCTGGGGGTCCCATAGCCGTAGTCGTTCACAGCAATGACACGGAAGTCGTAGCTGACCCCCTGCTTGAGGATGTCCATGCTGAAGGTGTAGGAGGTCACTTCCTTGGGGATGTCTTTGATGAGGATGTCCCAGAGCCCCTCATCTGGAAGAGACAGCAGGGCTGGGAGGGGAGGGCTGGCCCTGCAGGACACCCCAGGGCAAGGGGTGATGTCCCTCCATCCCCAGCCCTCCAAGTGCTGCCCTTTCCATCAGCCCCACTTGATCACCTGAACTGCACAATTAACCCCAAGGTGGAAATGGACCCAAACTCATAAAAGTGTGGAACTCCAGAGCCAGGGCCCATCCTGGTGCAGCCACAGCCGGGCTCTTGCACTGCCCAAGGTGCATCTTTGGAAGGGTTTTCAATAAATCCCTGCTTTATTCCTTTAACCCTGCCCAGCCTCTGCTCCAGGAGCCTCTCAGCATTTCCCTCATGGATCAGCACATGGGCAAACCCCCAGCCACCGGGTCCTAACACCTCAACCCAGGTCAGCTGTCCCTGCCTCAGTTTCCCCCGAGGTGGGGATGGGGAGCTGTGGTACCTGAGGGCCGAGCCTCGATGACGTATCTGGTGATGGGTCCTTGCCCGGGGTCCCCGCTGGACCAGTGGATGGTGATGGCGGAGCCATAGCGGGAGATGAAGGGTTCTCCAGGGGGGCCAGGGGCACCTGGGGACCGGAGGGCAGCTGGAGATGGGGGGCACAAAGCAGTGCCAGCCCCCAGCTCATCCTCTCCCTCTCCCCGTACCTTCCCCGGGCCCCGTGGTGATGTTGGCCTCCACGTCCGGCCCGTAGGCGAAGGTTTTGGCCCTGATTCGGAAGCGGTATGTGACGCCCTCGGCCAGGTCCTTGACCTTCATCCACAGCGGGCTGTTCCCCTTCACATCCACCGTCACGATCTTGCTCACGCCTGCAGGGACAGAGGCTGAGCCACGTCCCCCCGAGCCCTCCCCACTCCCCCTGGCCATGCCCTCACCATCCACGGGCGTGCAGGGCTCGTAGACCAGCCTGTAGCCCTCGAGGACCCCGTTGGGCAGCGCCGGTGGCTCCCAGGACACGTTCACTGACGTGGTGGTCAGCTCGCTGAAGCGGATGGAGCCGGGAGCGCTGGGGGCTGCAGGGGAGGGGGCGGCAGGGCCGGCTCAGCGCTCCAGGGGACATCCAGCTCCTCTCCCTGCCTCCACCCAGCCGCTGAGCACCAACTCACACCCCCTGCGCCCCAGCCCTGCTGCCACTCCCCGTCTCTCCTCCCGAGACCTTCATCCTTCTCGAGCCTCGGCTTGAACTCGCTGGGGCGAGCCCAGGGATGTTCTGCTCGGGCTTGCAGGATGAGGGGGAATCCCTGGAGCCGTGGAGACACCTCCCCACGGAGCCCGGGGGTGCTGGGGGAGCCGTGCCACGGGCCCCACCTGCCTGCTGTGTCCGTGCCTTCACGGGGGGGCTGCGGGGCCCGTCCCCCGCCGCGTTGAAGGCGGCCACGCTGACCCAGTACGAGGTGTAGCCCGTCAGGTTCT